GAAGCTGAGGAAAATTAAACCAAATCGACAGGAGCCAAAATATGACTTTGATTTCATACCACCTGAATTTCAGAATCATCTCAGGAACAGGTTTGAAGCCTTGAACACTAATGAGCGAAGACCAGATGAGTTGTGGGATCATCCACAGATGAGCCAAAGGTATCATCCAGGAAGAGTGCAAAATACAAGTGAGAACAAAAAAAGACCAGTTAGAATTTGACTTAGGCAGTAGTTATAATAGAGATTGGGCCAATCAACACTCTTGACACCAGCAGTTAAGACATCAAAAGATGTATTGCATTCGAAAGCTTACCGTAAAGGAACTCTCCAAAGTAGTGATGAGCAACATTGTCAGTTTGAAGCCTAAAGTGTACCTGATTCAAGCCATGGTCATTTCTATCACTTGCTGTGCATCTGAAACCTGGAGAGTGAATAAAGATGACAGAAGAAGAGTCAATGTTTTTGAGTCGTGGTGTTGGAGAAGGGTATTTACTGACTATCCTGTGGACTTCTAAAAGAACAAATCGTTATCTTGAGGAAGGTGCAGCCATAATGCTCCCTAAAGGCAAAGATGATGAGGCCTCATTTTACTGACTTTGGGCACGTAATAAGAAGTCCTTGGAAAGGGACATCATGTTTGGAAAGGTGGAATGTCAGGTAAGGAGAGGAAGACTCTCGACAGGATGAATTGACAGTGACTATAGCAGTGGTCTCAAGTGTGTGAGAGATGATGAGGATGGCACAGGATAGGACAGGATTCAGATATGTTGTTCATGGAGTCACTATGAGAATCTTACTCAACAACACATAACTATAACCAGAGCTAGAGAAGTCTTGGGGTATGCTCTGTCACATTAAGGCAGCTAAATGTAATCTATATACAATGGGAAACTGATGGCTTTTGGCTAGGAGAGGAACATTTTGAATGTACCTCATTTCAGATTACCAAGTGATAACATGCTTAGGGGAGGGCCTGGATGTTTAGTCCCTGGTCTATCATACTGAAAGTGTCCTGGTCATGACCTAGACAAGAAGAGAATCAGTAAGAATGATAGCCATGCTCTGTGCTTAGGATGTGGCAGACATTGCTTGTGTGATCTAATTTACCTAATCCTCAGGCAAACTATTATAAGATCTTTCTGTTATTGTTAAGTACCATTGAGTCACGTATGACTCATAGCAACCCCATGAACATCTGCACTCAGGTCTATCCTGTGCCATCCTTATCATCCTGGACACATAATGAGTTCATTGCTGCAATGTCTATAGTGTCTACTGTATCAATCCATTTTGTTGAAGATCTGCCTCTCCTTTTCTGACCCTCTACCTTTCCAAGGAATAGCCTCTCCTAAAAACATGTCTAAAATATGTGAAATGAAGCTTCACCATCTCAACCTCCAAAAACACTCTGGTTACACTTTCTCCAAGACTTAGCTGTTTGTTCTTTTTGCATTCTATAGGATATTCAGCATTCTTCTCTAACTTCCATAACTCAAAGGTATCGATTTTTCTCCTGTCAACGTTATTCATTGTCCAACTCTTAGAGGCATAGCATTGGAAGGATTGTGGCTTGAATCAGGTATACTTTAGTCTTTAAACTGACATTATTGCTCTTCAGGACTTTGGAGCACTCCCTGATAGCAGACTTTGCCACTGCTGTATGTCTTCTGATTTCCTGACTGCTGGTGCCAAGGGTGTTGACTTTGGATCCAAGCAAGATTAAATCTTTTGACAATTTCAATCTTTTCTCCTTCTATCATGAGATCTATTGGCCCAATGGTGAAGATTTTTGTTTTCTTGATACTGAGATGTAATCCATATAGAAGTCCTTGATCTTTTGCAGCAATCACTTCAGGTCCTCTGCACTTTCAGCGAGCAGTGTTGTGTCAGCTGCATAACACAGGTTATTGATTAGCCTTCCTCCAATCCTGATGCCACATTCTTCTTCATAAAGCCCAGCTTCTCTAAAGATTTGCTCAGGTTACAGATTTTATAATCTGTTTGTTTGTGGGGTTTTTTCCCCCAATTGATACAGTAACTGGGGTAGTGGGGGTTGATGTGTCAGAATTACTGAGACTGGCTCAGGACAGGAAAGGGTTCAGAGCTGCTGTCCACAGGATCATCACAGGAGACTACATCACAGGAGACTCAGTGGCACATAACAGCATTAACATACTATTACAGATTTGAAAGCAGGAGTGGCATCCACTTCCTAAATAACATGCCTCCGGAAACTCTATGAACTTAGATAATGTCAATTGTTGTAGAGGGGCTTCAGGCCTTTTGTTCATAGGACCAACAGATTTTGTAGGTATAGAGAAAGGATACAGCCTTGATATGCATCTTTCCTGATTTTAAGCCATGCAATGCCCTTGCTTTGTCCAGACAACAGCTTCTTGGTTTAGATGTAGATTTTGTATGAATGTAATTAAATATCTGGAATTTCCATTTTCTCAAGGTTAGCCATGGTTTGTTATGATGTACACACTGAAATTCCAGTGCATAGTTGATAAAACACAAATAGACATTCTGATACTCTCTGCTTTTAACCGAGATCCATCTAACATCAGCAGTATCATCCTTGATTCCACAACTTCTTCCAGACCCAGCTTGAACTTCTGTTTTTAGGTGCTGTCAAGTCACCTTCAATTCTGGACAACAGATCTGAACCCTGCCCTATCCTGCACCATCCTCACTATTTCTGATGTGCTTGAGCCCGCAGTCTCTGTGTCAGTCTGTCTTGCTGAAAGGATTTCTTTCTCCACCCTTTCACCTTTCCTAGAATGATGTCTTTTTCCAAGGACTGGCCCTTCCTAACAACATGCCCAAAGTATATGAGATGAAGTATCACCTTCTTGCATCTAAGCAGCGCCTCCTCTGAGATAAACCTGTTTGTTCTTTTAGCAGTCCATGAGATATTCAGTACTTGTCTCTAAACCACAATTCAAAGGCATCGATACTTCTTTGGTCTTCCTTATTCATTGTCCAACTTTCAGATGTATAGGAGCCACCTGAACAATCTTACTTTGGATCAGGCATACCTTAATCTTTAAGCTGACATCATTGCTATTCAGCACTTTGGAGAGGTCTTTGACTTCGGATTTCCCCAGTGAATTTGAGGGAGAATTGAGTATCAGTCACTGACCGGTCAGATTAAGCGGGCAGAAAGGGAGGCTAGAGTCAAAGTAAAGACGTTTTCCTCTGGGTACCCCAAAGTTGATGAAGATCTTGCCAGGTGTATCCTCCAAGGGGAAATATCTGACTGGCATTTGGGCATATAGACTAGGGCTCGTGACTAGATTAACATTCTGAGCGAGACCACATAGAGCGTATAGCAGAGGATAACCAAAGTAGAGTATCTAATCATAGGCACCCCATGCTTTTTACTCACTGCCCCTCCGATGTAGCCTGACTCATTCCTGCCAGACCTGTCTCTGCTTCTAGAAGCATCCCACATTGTCAGCAAGTTAGCCTATCTCCAAAAACTCCAGAGCCTTCCCTGTCGACATGGCCACAGTGGTTGCTCCTCCAGAATGCCGCTAGAAGTAGGCATGAGGACAGAGTTTTTCTCATGATAGTTCCCAGCTTTCAAAATGAAAAATATTCATGATTATGTACTTTTTTTCCAGATTTCTAGGAAGAGGATACAGGGGGAATTGTGTTAACTTTTGTTCTTTTTTACTTGTGGTCCTCCCATCGAAGAGCTTGCTTGATAATGCCTCCTAAGGAGCAGTGGTTAAGCAATCTACTGCTGACAGAAAGACTGGTTCAAACCCACCAGCAGCTCCACACGAGAGAGACTTGCTGCTCTGCTCCTGTGAGGTGATTGCTTAGAAATCCCTATGGTGCAGTACTGTTCTGTCTGATAGGGAGGATCACTGTGGGTCAGAATCAACTCGATGGCACTGGACAATGGCAATAAAAGGCTGAAGTGAAAGGCTTTCTTGTCTCTGAAGCTTCCTGTCATGTGGCACTTTCTGTATCACAGCAGCTTTTTAACATCTCACTCATTTCTCCTCCAGTACATTATAGAGTACAGGAGTGTTGTCTTCTGAAAGCTTGTTCAACATTAAAGCCCGAAGCCTCCATCTCCTTTTGGCCTCAGTGTAACTTTTGCCCTCGGGCCTGGCTTCAGCTAAACCTTTCCCAACTATGTCCCTGCATTTTCCTACCTACAGACCAATGTCTTTGCTAGTTGTTCTTCCTAAAATGCTCCTCTTTTTTATCCTGTGGTGATAGATGTTGCCTGGTCTTCAGCCATGTGATTTTCTAAGTTCTACCTCTCCTCATCATCAGAACCATAGGTGACACACCCATATTCTCTTTACAGAGAAGCAAACAGGTAGAGAATGGTAAAGAATTTAATTTGTCCAAAATCACACAAATATTGACTCCAGAAGCTTGGTTACAAAACCCATCCTCTCAACTATCATTAGATCTGAGTTATCTGATATTGTTAAGTTCTATTGTAGATTTCAAAAGGAAAGAAACATGAAGAAGCTTTGCTAAACCGTTTTCCCCTGTCTTTTCTCTTTGGTTCCAGGTGGAAGTGAAGCCATATGTGCTGGATGATCAGATGTGTGATGAGTGCCAGGGCACACGCTGTGGTGGGAAGTTTGCCCCGTTCTTCTGTGCCAACGTCACCTGTCTGCAGTATTACTGTGAATACTGCTGGGCGAGCATACATTCTCGCGCAGGGCGGGAGTTCCACAAACCGCTGGTGAAAGAGGGAGGCGATCGGCCACGCCATGTCCCGTTCCGCTGGAGCTGAGCCCAGGGCAGACCCAGCCACAAGTACTGGAGTGGATGACAAGGAGGGAAAGGAGAGGGCACTGCCTCAGGGCTTACTGTGTTCTGGAAATCTGTGCATTCGTTCTCGATTTTTAAAGAAGAAATGGGTCTTTTTATTATTATTATTTACAGTCATATTACTGAACTCAGTGTCCAGTATAATGCAAAACTGCAGAGTGTATAATGGTACTGATTTGCACTTTGATTCACACCTTTGTCTGCTTGGTACCTTAATTTCACACCTGATTTGTCACTAGTGACAGTATGTAGACTGCCATTCTCATCAGTGGCCATCAGATTGATGTCTGTGATTTTTTTTCTGTTTGTTGTTGTGTTGTTGTTCTGATTGTTTGAACTGGAGCATGCACTTATTTTCAGAAACTTAGAGAGTTGCCCCTAAGAGAAGACTTACCAAAGGTAATACTCGTGAATAGGTGGCAGATGTAGCAAAACCTTCACAACAACTCAGCAATCCTTAGTTGGGGTCATTTAGAGTAAGGATAACCCTTAATGAAACTAAGCCTTTAGTTGCTTTCTGTTTTGACTTGTAAGGATACCTCATAAGCTGGATCTTTATTTTTTTCCTTCATGTTTGATTTTTGTTTTGCTGAGGATTTTGGTTAGATCTTTTAGTGTTATGTAAATTTATGCTGCAATAGCTTTTGCTGCTATTAAAATGGTATTAATAATACCATAATCCTCTATTCAGGCTAAGGTATCAATTTTAAAAAAAAATCCAACAACATACTTTTGTGACTTAGGAATAGAGTCAGCTGCCGAAAGAAGATCAGGATAGACTTGAGAAAGCTTCAATGGAAGGTCAATACTTCTGACTGCATGTTTACTTAATCAGGTTGCTGCATGCAATAAATTTTATATCCAGTGTCTAGTATAAAACCTTCCCACAATGCACAAATTAAGAATCTATATAAGCTATAAAATACTCATTTTTTTTAAAGGAGATTTTTTTCATTCAGAAGATTGGTAATTGACTGGAGGAAGGCATGCCTCAATAAATGGAATGCTTCTGAAATGGGGAAGAGCCCATAACAGAATGACCTATATTACAACCAATATAAAACCTAGGTGTAGGATATTCTTAAAGCAAATTTGTGGATGGTAGATGAAGTACTTTGCGGTGCTCTGTTATATATTGTGCAATTTATTTTATATAGTAAAGTGATTATGTCTAACTGTGATCAAACTTAACTGTTTAAAGCCTCTGTGTCAGACATTAACAAATTTGACAGTTCATAACTGATATATTATTAACTAACACATGAGCTCTTAGTTACAATCTCCTAGTGCTTGCACCATTTTACATAGCTTCAGACCTTGTCCAGAAAACCAAAGAGCTCATCTTAGCTTACAAACACTAGGAATATATACAGTATATAGAGATAAATTGTCAGATTGACAAACTAGGCACATTTTAAGAAAGCTATGTAATGTTGATGCTAAACAAAATGTCTGTACAAAATAAGATGGTCTGTGTGAGAAATTAACTACTTAATTCCCGGGATTTATCCTGTAAAGCTTGAATAGAATTGAGATTTGCTAGTTCTACCATGGACATTTTCTTAGCATTCACTCTTGGGCTACGGATAGTAATATATAATACAAACAATGATTGTGAGAATATGTAAATTGTGTTTTGTTTATTTTTTGAAACCTTCTTCCTATGTTTTGGAATTCTGGGGACAATCTGACTGGATATGACACTGCAGAGTAGATTTAATTCGCTGTTGTGTGTGCTGTGATGTCCTTCTTCTGTCCTAAGTTACTGTTTCTTGTTTTTGTTTTGTTTCTCCATCATTTAGTTGCAATTACCAGCGCTCAAGCTACTGTTTGCTTTCAAAAAGGAAAAACAAAGTAGTTTTTTACTGGATTAAAAATGCCTATTAGAATTCTTCCCCTTTGAGGTTACCTCTGGGCTTTCTGGTAATACTCCCGTTTTCCAGCCCAGGTGTGGTTTTCTGTTTGGGTTGGTTTTTTTCTATGTTTGTGGTTTTGATTTTTTTTTTTCATCTGTACAAAAAATTTTGTTATGCACTACTACTTTTTGTATTTTAGACAGTTTTCAAAAGTTGGCTGAAGATTTTTTTGTTTGTTTGTTTTTAAGGAAAAAGGCATGCTTTCTGACTGACATGATCTTTTGCAATACCTCAATTTTGAAATATAGGAAAGAAAATGATATTTTCTAAGTAAGTTTATTCAGAAAAATATATATTAATTTAATTCTGCGAGAAAAAATGATTTAACAGATGGGTAACTTTATTTTTGTCATGCTTATTTGTGTTTTTTGAAAATGAAGAAGTTAGAGCTTTATAACTATAATATTAAAGATCATATCTAACCTACAGAAATCTACCTAATTATGTGAAAGAAGCAAAACTTTTTGAAGAAGCACCCCTCTTTCATGTACTAAAACAACACTGAGAGATTAAAAAAAAAAAAGCTGGAAGATTGTACAGCATAAAGCTAAAGCGAAGGCGAAAAAACATCGTCATGAAGAATAGGTTACACAAAATAAACTCCATTTGGTGCTGAAAGTTGTGAATAGATGGTGGAAACGACTTTCCCTTAATTTGTATATTTATAATCAAGCGTTGATTGTGCACGACTGACCAGGATTGTGAAAGAGTTCTTCTGTTTGTATTTTTTTAAAGAGAACTTTTTTAGTTTATTAAATTATAACATGTTCCCTTTTCTTTTGTAAATAAATGTGCCCCCAAGTTGTTAATGTTATATTAAAAGAGAGGGTCCTTCAAAAAAAAATTATTTTTTAAAACACAGAGGTGTTCTGACCTGCAACTTGACTGGGAAGCCCCTGGCTAACACAGGGCCTGTTGTGGCCTTTCCTTGATGTGACACTTGAACTAGTCGATTTTTTGAAGGCTATAACCTAACCTCGACTATTTGTTGTTATGTGCAATACTGTTTGTACTGTTTGTATAAAAAATAGAAAAAAAAAGAAAAGAAAAAAGGCATAAATCTTTATTGCAGATTTATTTTCATTGCAAACTTTAGACATTGTGATTCACTGAAATCATTTTTCTACTGTCAAATATGTACCTTTTCTTCATGCTGGTATTTTTTCAATAGTAATGTAGCCTTTGTACTGAGACAAATTTTCATTGTTATTTTTAGAAAGATTTTTTGCTAAGAAAAAAATTAAACATATTTACATATTTTTCATTTTATTTCGTATTTTCTTTAAGGAGTGCTTTCTCAATCATTAATAGAGTTGTTTCTGGGAGGGACTTTCATATCTGGTCAATGTCATAATATTATTTTGTATTTTTACTTGGAATAAATTAATTTTATGATGCTAATTCTTTAAAAGTTTATTTTTTTCATTTTCAGTTATTTTTGAAGCTAAAACCTTTGTAATATTGTTACTAAAGTGTCTAGTTTTTTGAAATGCAAAGCTTTATGTATTAACTTGCTGATGTGGTTTACAATAGTGTGACAACGATGAAAACAGTTGGTTATGTAAAGTGATTGAAAAATGTAATGGGTAATTGGGTAATAAAATGACAGAATGAAGCAGAACATGGGAGATTTTGACAAGCCTTTTCCTTTGTTACAGTGGTTTAGTGTGAGACTAGGGATGTCACAGTACACTTCTCTAGGGGTTTATACAACACCAGGTGCAGCCACCCTCCAGCCCTGATTGTAAAGTCACCCCTCTAGATACCACCAGGTTGAAAACCTGACTTGGTCAACTATCTCATGGCTTCCCCCTATATCTCATCATTACATCCTGTGTGTGCGCACATGTATGGGTGTATGTGTGTGTATGAATTGCCACCAGCTGCCCTCCTTGTGTGAGAAGTTGCCTTTTCCTCAGGCCAACCCTTTTACCCGCCTTTACAGTGGTGACATCTAAGAGTCAAAGGAGATGACTGGGAGGGCTCCACCTTCCGTGATGGATAGACCTCACGCGTATCTCCCCAGTGTTACCCCCAATGGAAGACGAGTGGCAGTACTGAGGAAGCTCACTTGATGACCCCACTGTAAATGGACCATGACCACCTCTTCCTCTGCACATCTGCCTGCTCCCTCTTAGGGTACCCTTCTTTGCCTCTTACTGTGGCACAATGGTCACTCCATGCATGCTCTGTCTGCCTTCCTACTTTGGTTCTAACACCTTACCTTGAAGCTGTGCTGTTAAGGCAGCCTGTCATTGTAATGGCACCAAAAGTTTTGGGTTTTTAAAAAAAAAATTTAAAAAGTCCTATACCTGCAAAACTGGTGTTGTGTAAACAGAACATCCAATGACTTGCTCTAGATAGATGGTGTGTTTCTATGTCATTGATGGCCTTCTCCACTCCCATTGCCAAGGAGGCAAGGTTATCAATAACTCAGAGAAATGCGTGTCGAGTCAGCTCTTGGGTATGCTCTGTGTATTCAGTTTTGTAAATAATATATAGATTAGATCAAGTTGTGATGTAAAATTTTAACTCAAATTGGATCCTGTCAGTTGGAATTTTACATTAACTACAAATAAATGATTAGGAACAGAAGAAAAGAAATTGGAAAATTCTTGCTTAGTGGTATCAAGATTATGCTTAGATTTCTGCCTATATCTTTGTGTTTTATAGCTTGTTAGTGAGGCATGGGCTAATGCAGAAAGTACTGCATTTATGCAATTAGCAAATAAACTGCTAGTTTTCATTTTATCTGTATATTAGCAACACAATGGCATTTAACTGGGTAAAGCTCCTTACCTATTTCAGTATTGTGACATCTCTACTTGCAAGGTTTGAGTGAAAGATTAGTCACAGATTAGTGAAAAAAAACGTGTCTTTTTGCTAAAACTAGCTCTTTTGTATGCATTGTTGCTTTTCTCTCTAGTTTGTATGGTTTGTCAGCTAACATTTTTTTTTCTCTTTGTGTTGATTTTTTTAAAAAAATAATCAAACTCTCTCAGCTGCAATAGTGTTCCATCTTACCAACAAAGTATTTCTGATCAATGCTGTTGACTTTATACCCCAAAATGGGTCCAGAAGTGTGGATAGGAATGATTTTGAGAAGCAAACAATTTGTGTGATGATAAAATTAAGTGGAACAAGTAGAAAACCTGGGTGCTAATAGGGGAACAATGTCTGCTCTTTTTCTTCCCTGGGTAGAGTTCTGTTGGGGTATAAAGTACTAAAGTACTAGGTATTTGTATTTTTTGCTGTCAAAAATAATGAACATAACTTTTAGAGTTCACAGCTAAGATCTCTGTATTTGTTTTTCAACTACCAACTACTTTTAAATGTATTGTACCTTTTATTACTTGTTCTTTCTCTTAGATTGTTTTCGGCTAGTACCCCTTCCTCAGCTTCGGCCTCTGGGGCTTGGATAATATGCTTGTATGGAACTGCAGTATGTGACTAAACATGGAGCTCAATGCAGCTATCGCTTACAACCGCTTAAACTTTGTAGTTTGGACTTCATTTTTTTTCTGTAATAACAACTTATTAAATCTAGTTGTATGAACTACTGACACTTGTCATCCTTTACATTTACTAACAAGTAGCCTGGAGTATATCGTCTGCACGTGGGGACATTCCAGCTTGAGGTGCTGCCTTTAAAAACACAACACAAATTCCTTTACAACAGAGTAAGTACAGCAATATTCACCGTTTCTCCCAAATTAACATTCACTAAAAAAGAAAAAAATCCAAACAGGAAGATATTTGTTGACACAACATGAATGAGTTCTTAGTCTTTAATGCAAGGTGGTGTAAGGTTTTTCACACGTGCAACCAGTTTTCAAAATCAGAATCCCAGAAGGCAATGAAAAGGTAAGTATGCGGCCTCCGCTTTCTTTTTTAGCGCCAAACGCCCTATTTCAGAGAATGGATCTTTTTACGCTTTCCTGTCGATTTTGCTCAAGCTGGAGCTCTCCCCTGAGCCCTGTCTTGGGAATGGCGCAGATGCTGCCCGAGGACAGTGTGGATCTTTGGGGAAACACGGGCGCCTGGCCCCCAACCCGCATCGTTGGTCCAGGTGGGGTCTAGGCATCCCTCAGTTTAAACTGAGCCCGGGGCTACCGGACCTAAGACTGAGGCGCGCAGGCGGAGCTGTGGGGAGTTGCACCGCTAATGCAAAGGTTCGAATCCCCCAGCTGCTCGGAGCGTCACTCTCCTCCCGGGATCTGCACACCGGTCGGAGGCGGCGACGGGCCCGAGTTGAGTAGGTGGCTGGGGGCGGCCCCTGCTCGGCGGGGCCTGGGGGGACGGAGTCACAACCCCGCTGGGGGAGGCCAGGGCCTCGAGGGCTTCGCAGGACGGGAGGAGGCCGGGGAGGGCTCGTGTCCACGTGGGCGTGGAGGCCGCTTTCCTACCTGCAGATTCGTCTCCATGACCTTGCAGGCCTTTCCCCCCTCCATCCCATCCCCCCGCACCTCTTGCCCCTGCGGACACCCCTGTTTTGGCCCCACGTCTGCCCCCCGCGCTTCCCTCTCTGGCTCCGCAGGGACCTGTACGGGAAGGGTCCCCAGGTAAGTCAGGCAGGTACTGGGCCCTCGAGCGCCCTATCCTGAAGTGACGGGCAGAATAGGACCCCAAACTAGGGACAAGGACTCTGAGGGAGTCGCGCTCCCCACACAAAGGCCTGCGGTTCGAATCTACCAGCAGCTCGGTGGTCTCCTCCCCATGCGACTTGAAAGCCCCCAGGAAGGACACCTGTGAGACAGCTGGGTGTTTTCGCGTGAAAACACACAAGACTTGATGGGGGGGGGGGGCGCAGGGCGAGGGTAATTGAAGAGGCCTGCGTTTAATTAAGTTCAACCACTGGGACTCCCTGGGCGCCATTTAACTTCTGGCATTTTGGTTCAAAAGAGAAAGTGAAGGAAATTAGATTACCTGCTGTGCCCCCCACCCCCATTTTTTGGTTTTGTTTTGTTTGTTTTTTTTAAATTTTTATTATTTTTGTGTGCATGTACCTTCAAATCAGATCTGACTGGTACAGGAGGAGATTGTCCCTCCTTACGCGGCAAAGCATCTGGTGGATTCGAACCGTTCGCCTCTGGGATTGTAGTTGCAGCTCCTTGCCACTAGGCCACCAGAGCTCCCCTTGTTTTGTATTTTTTAATGGTTTACGCCCCAAAATCATATACATTGTATTTCACATATTCCTTCATCTACATTGGTTTTCATACGATCATTCCCATACACCATTTTACAAAATTAATCAACATTGATCTATGCCCACTACCACCCCGCCGTTTCAGGTCCCCACTAATGAATTCCTTCATTTCTTCTCCCCCTCCCTCTGCCCACCAACCTCTGTGACCCCATAATTTCCCCCTTCCACACTCAGCACTCCTGTTCCTGCTCCCTTTCCCCCTTTGGACTTTTATCCACATATTAAAATAGTCATTGTTCTATTTTTATAATAATGGTCTTATGCAATATTTGTCTTTATGAGCCTGAGTTGGTTCACTCAGCAGAATGCTCTCTGGATTCTCCCATGTTATATAGTATTTTACAAAATCATCGCTCCTGAGCGCCTCATAGTATTTATTCCGTTGTGTGAATGTACCACGATTTCTCAAGCCATTGTCTGTTGATGCACATATTTGTTATTTCCATTTTCTTGCTATTTGAATAACTAGGACTAGGAGAAAAACAACTGAGACACAAATGGCTTTTTGTACGCTGATGTTCATAGTAGTGCTATTCACAATGCCATGACTCTTTTAACTCTTGATTTTCCCTAAAGAGTACTACACAAAGCTCCAAGCAGACTGTTACATTCAGAGTACTGATCTGATTTGGACCCACAACCCAACGTCTGAAGCCTGGTAAACAGGTTCTGATGGAGTGAAGTATGTATTGTGCTACTGACTGGTTGGATGTTTGAGACAGTCACCTCACTTAAGATTTACAGCCTCAGAAACCTAAGTGAGGACTGTCAGGAAGCTGGAAGATAGTGGGTTCGATTTTTTCTTTTAGATCTGACTGTTGGCATGGAGAGTGAAAGGGACATAGGAAAGTGAATGCTTTAAATCTTTATGGCCAGGGCTAAAAATGGGTAGTCTTAGTCTTAACCATTGCAGGAACCGCACAGGGTTTTCTTTGTTGTAAACTTTACCTCCTTAAGCAGGTCACCACACCTTTTTTTCCATAGCACCACTGGGTGGATGCAAAGCACCAATTTGGGGGTAAGCATCCACTTGTGAATTGTTTGTGACACTTGGGCACCTAGTCTTAATTGTTGGACCCCAAACTCGGAGCTGGCAAGTCACTCTGATTGAGTGTGCCTGTAGGACTCTGTGCCACCAAGGCTCCTTGGTCTTGGGGGCAGTGGTAGGTGCAGTTGGCTAGGACTCATAGCGACCCTATGAACAAAGCTCTGAGCTGTGTTCTATCTTGTGCCCTCCTTACCGTCTCTGACACACTGGAGCCCACCACTATAGTCACTTTCAGTGTATTCCACTGAAGGCTGTCCTTTCTTTTGCTGACCCTCCGTCTTTCCAAGAATGACATTCCTCTCTAAGTAATAGCCTTTCCTTGCAACATACCCAAAGTATATGTGACAAAGCTTTACCTTTCTTG